GTAGGTCACATCGCTCATTGATTTTGCGAAGGGCTAATAAAGTTATTCAAGGAATTGGAAGGTTAATCATGTTAAAATTTTTTAGTTAAAATTGAAAATCTACTGTTGAAATGCCTAAATAGTTCTCTTGGTTTAGTTGTTGAATTTTTTAGATTGAGTTAGTGGATATTTGATAGACTGTGCTTGGAGTTTGAGAATGATTTAGTTTTTGTCTTTCTTCATTTTTTTTTCGTTTTTCGTTTGCCTCCCATTTAATGTAACGAGAACTATAATGGTTGAAGAGTAAAGAAGAAGAAGAAAAAAAAACAAAAACAATTTTATGTTAATTTTTAATGTGTACCTGTATGCTGTATATGTGCGTGTATTTGTGTGTGTCTGTGTCTGTGTCTGTGTTTATGCGGTGGGATGCCGTCAGTGGAGTGGCTTGTGATGCTGCTTGTGGTTAGAAAGCAAATTATATAGTTGTATCGTTAATTTTTTCTGCGTAGTCATACAAATCTTTGATATTTATTTAATTTTATGTCAACCGTCTTCTGCGTAATATAACATCTCGACAATGATTTGTTAAAGTTAAGTGTGGAGGAAAAATTCTTTTTTTTTTTCACTGTTTTTTTAGTGATGGTGATGATGATGATGATGTTGTTGTTGATGATGATGATAATGATACAAATATAAAGTGAAAGATTGTTTGTTCGATAGGCGAAAAGTTTAAAGGAAAAGAGATGTCAACAATAGAAGAAGCTAGTGTCGCTAAAACAAAGCCACACTAAGCGATAAGGTGTGATGATGATGGTTAGTTCAGATGAAGATAATGCTAGTATCCAGATCGGACAGCGCATAGCATCCTTTGATCGCTACTTGAGATGTCAATTTATATTGCCAGTAACAGTAAGCCATTTTGCTACTTTCTTTGTTTTATAGCAATTAGTTACTATTTATCGTTATAATTATTATTTTTATTATGATCACTGTTGATGTTATTACTGCTGTTGTTCTTTTTTGCTGCTTTATTTACAGCCAATTTAGCGCTGCTATTGTTCAAAAATTCTTTAGAGGTTGCTTTAGAAGTGCATTTTATCAGACTTTATTGTCTATATGAATGGATAATTGGTTGTAAATTGGAACGAAAAGAAAATGAGAAAGCAAAAAAAAAAAAAAAA